ATCGCGAGTTGTAGCGTGGAGAGTCTCGAGAGTACATGGAGTTCCGAGAGCGACCGAGCAGAGTCGGGAGGTGTACTCTGGTGCTTTGCAGTGAAGCTGCCATAACCTTTATTGTCTGATCGTGTGAAGGCTGCGACACTGAGTTTCAGCGTGTTTATAGCAGATCTTCGACAACTGTGTAAACGTGTTATTGGAGCTGTTTTGAATAATACTGGCCAGTAAAGTGCGTTTCTATACTTCATCGAGTGCTTTTGTCATTATTCACTCCATATCCGCACGAACACCGTAACTAACGTAGCAATATAATATATCTACATTTCTAAAAATAAATTAATAATGGCCCATTAACTCCTCTTTTAAATTTGACTTCTTCATTCTAAAAATAGCAGAGCAATAAATTTTGTAATATAATCTTTACTTCCTATAATTCTAAAAAATGATCCCTCATTTGATCTCTTTTGCACAATTATTCCTGGAATGCGATGAAATCTTAATCCAGCATTCGAATATTAATCTGTTATATATCTGAAATTTAAATCGCTTTAACATTCTTGTAATCCTAAACATTCCTGTAATATGATCAGAAATATAATGTGTTTAATATAATTATAACTTGATATAAAAGCTCTTTGCTGCACAATCTCGCTCTGTTTTGATAGTCCCTTTTTTTTTAATCCCCTCCCCCGGCCTTTTCGCTTCTTCTCGTTTGTAAAACTTAATTAGCTGCTTGGTTTTCTCTATTGTTTCAGAAATGTAATACATCATAGATAAATACTGGTGGGCTTATTCGCGGCCGTAATGTGCTGATGGGAAAAAAATATCTTTCAAGAATGTTAAAAAATAAATTATGGGTTAGTTCACGGCCTGTTTGTCTTTAAATCATTCATCTTTCTACTACGTAGCTATGCTATCGCCACCCGGTCATCAGTCAAAGATACCAACTATGTATTCTCGTAAATTTTATCTCAACTACTACAACGATTGCCAGAAATCTCTTTATGTCAGAATGTTAACTAATTATGATTAGTTTTCATTACATACGAAATTTAAATGTTCATGCATTATATGTTTAAAATTCAATCTTATTTAGGTAATACATTGCAACACTATGTATTCAGGTTATAAAAAACATATGGAGCCTGAAAAACTATGTTTTTCTTTTACAAGAAAAGTAACTAAGTTTTTATTCAGAAAAACAAAGCATTTTTAGTTTAAATTGGAACATAAACAACTTCCTTTAATTGGAAAGAGAAGTATTTCTTCCGTAATTTCTTTTAAACACAAAGCAACAATATTTTTATCTATAAAATTTATTTTCAATTTATATTAATCGTTTGTAAAAATAAATCCTTTATTGCAAACGGGGCGGTGAAATATCTTTTAACGAATACTCTAGCTGTGTGCTCCTGCAGGGTTATGTGTCTTTTGCCATAAAAAAAAATTAAATTCTTTCTTCAAAACTTAGTGTAAGCAATGCTCGTAATCCTGAAATAAAATTGAAGATTCAGTAATATTGCATTAAATTGAATCATTGCTTCTAATATTTCTCTTCCTATATCATATGTCAATTCGCTTCTGTTGTGCTTCAACTAGTTGATGGGGTGAAACAGGTATCCTGTTTTAATGAATACTGTTGCTGTTGTTGTGACTTATCTCACTTGTCTGACAATAACATCCGAACAAGCCCACGAAATTTATCGTGGCAAGGAGTCTAAGATTGCGCCTGTCGTTTTGGCAAGAGCACCCTGTCTACTGTTAAAAAAGAGAAAAAAGAAAAAAATCTACGAAAAGACTTTTTTCGCTTATTATTCGAATTGTAATTTCTGATCTAATGAATTAAAAAAGTGCAGCTCCGTCATTAATAAAAAAAGCTTTTCATAAAGACAATTTCGATCGATTTCTAAACCTTTCGCTAAACATTAAATCGTTGATTAGATAATAAAAATCGCTTTCTCTAACCTTTAATTTATTCGAATAATGTTATTCGGTAAGATAATTTATTTCTCCTCGAAAGGGTTCTAAAAACCTTTTAATGTTGTTGAACTTGCTGGAAACCCAGAGTAACGGTATCTCGGTTTCTTAGCAGAAACATATCATAATATTATAGTGCTATGTACGGATCCCAATTCCTGGATCCATGAAGACAATAAGATAACTTAATATATCATCTTAAAAGTTTGAGTAAAATAGAAAGTTTGAAATATTATTATTATTGTTTTAAATCGTCAGCCTGGCGGATTTCAAAACATCTGGAATAACAAAAACCAATCTCTGCAGCTTGGTGGAAAACAAAAAAGTTTTAAAGTAAAATTAGAATATTAAATTTACACGGCAATGCAATGCGCGCTTACAAGCTTTGGCTTCGGCCCTCAGTTTCCGCTAGCACTTACGGCTAGCAAAGCTAAAGCTGATCCATGTAACTTGCACGTTGGGAAAAAATTAACGAGACGGTCAGCGATAGCTCTCTCTCTCGAACTCGAACTCAAGAACTCTATACTTAAATACATTAGTTAATTTTCATTTTGGTGGCAGCCAATGAAAGTGAGAGTAAAGACAAAATAATAATAAGGTAACCGATCAACAAACAATACCCCATTGTGACTTCTTCTGTTCATAGGTACGTAAAACGGTCAAGCTCAAACTATGAAAGAATGTATATTGTACCATACTGTGTTAATACAAAATAGTGTTTTTAGTCATGAAAGAAAGGATACAAAATATTAAGAATTTTTCGAAATGTTTCTTTTCTAGTATTTTGTATATATTGATCACCAGAATACTGTAGTGGAAATAGTCTTTATCTTCCACCAGTATAATGTTAATGCGCCTTTGTGAATTTTTGTTATGTCGACGTAGAAATTTCTGGAAAAATTACAGAATATAAGGTGAAATCAGCATTTCGATGTTCCCGTCTAAACGGTGAGATGTGCTACACATCTCAAAAGTCGATGCCAAAAACAGAGGAATTTTAACAACGATAATGTTTTCCAATAATCTGTACTCCATCACGGATACTTCATCCAACAAGTTTGGATTTCTTCTTATGGACTAAACAAAGAGTGATTTTTTCATAACAAGTGATGGGTACTCAAAAATTTACTGATGAGAACTTTCAAACTAATAAAGATCAAAAGCATTTATTCTATCAAGTTACATAAAGGCAGAGGTAACAAAAGCAGCACGGAGCCAATGTGTGTCTAGTGAAGAAAGGAGATTCTTTTCAGCATATAACCGGCAAAGTATGAAACACCGGCATTCTATAGAATGCCTAGTTATTGTATACAATGCCGGGCGATTTTAGGCAAAGTATGAAATATGAGAATTTTTACATACTTTCCCTAGGCATCGTATATAATTCCTAGGCATTCTATAGAATGACAAATGAGTTTTAGTCAGAGTATGAAAGAAAGGTCATGATAAGTTTATTATTTAAAAGATGTTCATTCCTCAGAAACACAAATATTATTTTGAAAAATCAGGAAGAGTGCCATTAAAAAACTGTTATTCGAAATATGTAAAAATAATAGTGAGATGATCTTGATACAGCATAATAAGTCTGCTATCTGACTGAGACTGTGAGTCCGTAAGATCTATCTGACAATGGAAATTATATTCAGAAACAATCATAAGTTTCACATTAATGGCCTTTTTTAATACCTTTTTGTTTTTCTGGCAGGGCTCACAAAGGCGGTTGTACAGTTCAATATCATGACGTGTAGCGTTTTTGTAATTGGTTGAACATTCTTTCAACATTTTGTCACGTCTGTGTCCAGTACACAAATGAGTGTTCATGAAATACGGAAAATATCTCAGCGTCCGTGACGTAATACTGTATAGTACCGACGCTTTCTATAACAGAGTAAATGAATATACTTTTGTTTTCCACAAACATCACATCTCCTTTTGTAAAAGAAATACAAATAACATTAAGCAGCCAGTAGTTCCGTGGTTCCTTCTTGGTAGTCATTTTGGCCTTTTTACATCAATTATTAACTTCTGGTACGTAGTTTCGGTTCTTCGAAATGAGTCGGAAATATACTTCGCCTGTTTGTAATTTGGCATTCTGTAGAATGCCTAGGAAATGTGTGAAATATTTACATACGTTTCATACATTGCCGGCTATTTTAGGCATTATATACAATGCCTAGGCCACGAGTAAATTGACTCGCGAACAAAAAGTATCTTGGATATTGAACAGTGTATCCAGTTACGAACATACAAGTAGATAGTAAATATTTTTCAGGGCTTTTTTTTGAGATAACTTCTGATATAAAATTAACTCTCAGAAACTTCTGAAAATATCATATTAATATTTTTTGCTTAACTTTCATAAATAAAGCCTAGTAGCATGTGATTTATAAGACTATGAATTCGATCCGAAAAAATTTTGTCCAGACTGTGTGGAAGAAGAAACTTTGAGGACTTTTGACGCTAAAGGTAATTTTCTTTTATTTATGAAATTGTGGCTCTAGGCAATTCAACGACAATGCAGTGACTCACTTTACAAACATTTAGAGAGTAAAACTCTAACTAATCACATTGGATAATTTTTGAGTGAAATGGAGGCCCAATGCAACAAACCCAACACGCAGAGTTGAGTGGTGGTAACAGAGATAAGAATGAGAGAGAGAGAAAAAAGTGCCCCAGAAAGATGATCCTTTTATGGAAGATGAGTCATCATCAAAGCAATAATGTTTCTTCCTTTTTTTTTTTTTTTTTTCTCATCTGAGTTTTCCTCTTATTTTATCTATTCAATGTTGTGTTTGTCATTTTTTATCTTAATTTTAATGATTTCGTTCGGTTTGCTGTCTTCAACTTATGACTTCAACTTATCAGGAACGAATCATATTCGTGAACCGAGATTTGACTGCAACAGAAATATTTTCGTAGCAGACTTTTTTAAAATTGACTTTCTGTTGATTTTTTTATCATGATTCTTCCTTCATGTCTAGATGAAAATACTTCGATTGCAATAATCAAATTTTATGTTCTTTCTACAGGTCTCGGGGTTCCTGAAAGCAAGATATGGGAACGTATCACAGCACTTGCCCAGGATGAGTCTTCTGCGGATTCAGAGATGGAAATTATTCCAATCTTATACGGAGAAAGGTACTTGCCAGACGACCACAGAGCACTTGTTAGGAACATTGACCCTCACTGTCTGGGTCTGGGAAAGGTTTCTCGTAGCCTCTTCCGCGGCTTGATATCTAATTTACGTTCCATGATGCCCAGAGAAATCTTGATCGAGGCAGGCATCAATAGAATCATCGGTAGTGGCACTGCTCTAACTAAGAATCCAGTTCTACAGAGAGAGTTGGAGACGCAATATGACTTGCCAGTCGTCTATGGCACAGGAAGTGATGCAGCCGTCGGAGTGGCTCTGGCTGTGTTACCATACTTGTGATGAAATTGCAGATCTTTAAAGGATACCTTCTAGTCAGAGACAGTCCAATTCTGGTCTGAAGGTGCTTGTGATTGCGTTCTGAAATTCGCAAGAAACATCGAGATTTTTAGAGCTGTTAAGTTTGCTGAGTTTACTTTTACAAGATTTGCGCAAGTTCCTCCAGATTTAACTATCGTTAATTTTTGGCAGCCAGAGACATGACTTTATTTACTTACCAGCATTTCCTCATAATTACTCTCATCCACTTCTAAGATCTTCAGCTTATAACATGCCGACAATCCACAGTAAAGTACCGAATTTGGAATCATATCAAAACACTGAAAAACCAGTTATGTGCATAACTTGGCCAGTTTAATTCACAAACTGTTATTACTTTTACACTTCTACAAAAGTTATGTTTCTTGCTATTTCCGATTGTGTTGAATATATCATTTTTCATATAAAATACTAATACCTAAATAAAGTTGCTTTTTTATTCTCAGTGGTCAATATTTTCTAACGGACTCGCAGATGTCTTTGATGACTGCTGCTTATCCCGAGTCTTTAAATGAGAAGATGCTTGTGAATAATCATTGAAGGATTAGGAATTGCATCTCTTATTGGCCACAGATCCAGTGGATACAGTAAGACTTGGTTCAGCTACATCTAAATTTTCATCGAAATCTCTCCAGTTTACCCTTCTATAATTTCTAGAGAAGATTTCCACTCTGACGGATTTTAAATGCATTTCTTCTGCACAAACACTACAGTTACTAGCGTCCGTGTCTTAGCTACGATTGTATTAGGTTATGTTAAGTTAACTAATTAAGGCAAAGCAACTCGAGGGTTACCTGCCGATTAGGAAAGATGTCTTTCTTAGGGAAGTTTTTAAGAAAATTACCTGATTAGGCATGAGCATCAAAGGCTCATTAGATAGAATACACATGAAGAAAACCACAAAAATCCTAATGTAGCCGGCCTGTTTGCTAGAATTTGAAGCCGCGTCAAACTAGAAGTGATCAGGACTTTACCGCTCGGCTGGCTAATAGGCCCACCTAGGACTGAAACCACTGATTTGATACGAGAGAATGATAAGCTGACCACTCATTTGTCTTACGTGTAGAAGTGTACTGGCTATTGATCTTGTAATATTAATTTTAATTACATACCATTTTCAATTTTCTGACTTTTGTTTCTCTTTATTCCATTTAAAAATTGATTTTAGATGTATTAACTCTTTGAGGGGCAGGAAAAAGGCAATTAACTTTTTCAGCAAAACTCTTGTTTTATTCACTATATCAGGTGTTAAGTGAAATTATTTGCGACAATTACACATATTGTCTCCAAGACGCGTGGAAAAAAATGACCACTTCTGGTGGTTAGTGTCAGTGACCACCAATACATCCCTACAAATGGTACTACTACTCTATGGTACTTATGGAAACAGTTTTTCTTTTCCAAGCAGAATGCAACTTTACATGTGTTGTATTCCCACATTGTTCTTACAGGCATTTTCTTGGTGCTACAGAGTGTACATCGTGGTGATGTTGTCGTCGATGGCTGATGCTTATTTTCTTGAAGACGAATTGCTGCATCAACTACTGGCTTAAGTTTCTTGATTGACTTATGTTTCTTGATTGCCATCTAGTCTTCAGAAATGCAACTTCAGAAACGGTCAGTCTTAAAACCACACACATTAATAAGTAAGACGTTCAATATCAAGTATTCACATGGTTTTATTTACTGTGAAATTATAGTATCGCAGTTTTTATTCTATCATTGCCATTTTGAACAGCTCATTTTAAGTGCAAAATTTTTCATTGCGTACCAGCAGTAACTATCTTCGACTCTCTCTCTCTCTCTTTTTTTTTTTTTTTTTTTTAATGTGTCAAGATCTACGTACTAAAATCTTGATATTTAACATATTCACATTGCGTCTTGTGAACTAATTAATAAGTAACAGTGAGGAAGCATAACATATCAACATGATATTTATTAAAAAGTACCCTCAGAAAAAAATTAGATTTTATTTTATTACCTTATCATTAATGATAAGTCCGTGTTTGCATATCTCCAACCAAACGTTTATAATTTAGTGTGCATCAAGAAACTCAGTAAGTAAACAACGATGAGTACTTTAAATATGAAAAAGGAAAATTCACCTAGGTATGTAGATCCAAAACAAAAGTAAATATATTCGCTACATAAGTCTTTTTAATTTCTACAACCTGCCGAAAGCGGGGGTTACGTCATTAACGCACTGTTGCGCGTTTCGCAAAGTTAACTTTCTACGAAGAAAATGGGTTAGGTTGTAGAGTCGATGTATTCATTTTGGTAGCACACAATGTTGACTCTATGTAGAAGACGAAGTAACGAATACTCGCTATGTCTTTGAAGATTAAATACTCCAGAAGAAGGTTTAAATAACCTTTTTATTTGAATTAAATTAAAACAGATGCACGCACTTGGTGCTCACATTTCACCACCACTTGTGGCTAACTTAAATTTAACAGAAAATAAAAATGCAACAAATCATTAATAAATGTGAATGCCTAACGACTAGCTCCTTAGCTTAACTAATGTTAAATTGGCTGCAAACGGCAAAGCCGAGCCTAGGAATATCAATATGAATATGACGGGTGTCTAACACTGACTTTAGAGAGCTAATTTCAAACACGCAGCAGAAAATCGGAACTAACTCCGCTATTACTCATTTTCGAATTCTTGAAACGCAGCTTAAATACTGCTTCTGAAACACGCTTAGATTAACATACTACGTCATTACAAATTTACATTCCGGCAGGAAACTGAAATCAGGTGGGAAAGGAAAGCAAAACTAAAAATAAGTTATTAGAGTAAAATAAAGTCCTTGCAAGGTGTAGTTCAGATTAAGAAAGTAAGTATAATATATACGAACCTAAATATTATTGCAATTAAAAGGGGAAAATGAAACAAATGTTAATTGAAAGGATTTCTATTACTGCTTTATAAGCACACGGCACAACTAATTTTTTTTTAAATAGCTGATGTCTTTTGCTTAGGATAATATCAGACTTATTAAACGTTTCGCTGTAAAGAGTGCAAAGTTTTTCAATACCCCACATGATGTGTGCTGTTCTTTCTCCATTTCAAAATCGGACAGCTCCTGTGCCGCTTTCAACAAGTCGTTCAAACTTCTTATCCGGCTGCTTTCACAATTGGCTGGTGTCATCAGACATCGAAATTTCACGATCGTCATTTTCGACTAATCGTTTAACTTCTTCAACTTCCATATCTGAAAATCTTTCGCCACATATTGCTCTTACAATTTGCATGATTTGCAAAAGCAATACTCGGCTTCTTCTTTCTTGACTTCATTTTCAATTAATAGAAATCTTTTAAATTTCTTGATAACTTCTGGCCACCGTTGATGCCAGTACGCAGTGATTGTTAATATGTTGTCGCAGATCCTCATGTGAATTTTATCAATTCTGTGCAGTGTCTTTTGTTGTATTGCTTTAAAAATGCCGTTAGAATTTCGTGCTTTCCATCGTTTATTGTTTTATTCGTAGAAATGTATATATGCCTGATATAATAGATTTTGAATGTTTTTTTATCATTTATTGATCGATTGGTAGGGTTAAGGAAGTGAAGAGTTTAATATTAAAGTTTAAAAAAAAAATAAGTTTAAAAAATGTCATAAGATTAAAGAGATATATGTCATAAGATTATAAATGATTGTTATAAGATTATAAATATAATAAAATTAAAGGGAAATTGCAATCTGATTTTAGAATGCACATTTTAGATGAATACTTAAAACAGTTTTCAGCTAACGATTATAATAAGTATACTAGTTGAAAAATAAGTTCTCTAAAACTAAAGCTCATTTAATTTCAAATGAGTTATTCAGAATGCCAGCACCAAGTAATAATAAGAATATTTGCTATGATAATATTATTTCATAGAATATAATTGCTACAGTGACACTTGTTCACATATTTGATAACGAAAAGAATTAATTATTCAAGACTTAGTTATTCATTTATTACAAAAATACATTTCCCCAAGAAGCTAGCAACAACTATTTCTCTTAAGCGGCAATATTTATATTTCACCAGGATGCGAAATGTGAGCAGTAAAGACTTTGATGAGATTTTACTTCAAAGTATTTAACAGTTTCCAGATATATTTCTTGGCTGTAGAATTCACAAAATAAATAATAAAGAGGCTAATCAGACACAATAAGCAATTTCTGAAAATATAGTTTTCAAAATGTTAACATCAACGTTAGAAAAATGTTATTAAAAATTTAAGTTTCTGCCTGTGAGAGAATAAATTAAAAAACACTGATAACGAAAGCAGTAATTGCCGTGTAACTTAATGACAATTACTGAGCTATGATGAAGAATTCAAAAGAGACTGTTGTAACTTACATCACAACAAGTTATAATTGTTGAGTGAGAAAGGAACGTGTATTTGAACAATATGAATATAATAACTTAAAGGAGATTTTAGAAAAAATTCGACAATAAAAATAGTGCGTCCAAAATCTTAAAAGCTATTGATTTAACTGCAAGCTAAAGAAACAAAAAATTTGGTGTGCAAAATAAACTTACGGGAAAGCATACTGAAGGAATTATTTGGATGTTATTTCAACGTCCCATTGCTTTTCTATACCGCAAAGTATGTGGAAACAAAGATTACCTTTTACTATAGAATTTATTGAATCTTTCTAGGAGGAAAAGGGAGATCTGTGTTAGAGCAATATGACTACAACTAATGATCCCTGGCCTATTATCTCCGTACCTGAAAACAGGAAAGTGGTGATTATTATGTGGGGTAAACTTCACATTAAAGAATATTTTTCATTCTTTTCACAAACTTTCAGTGAATGCTTTTATTCAAAGGAAATATCTTTAATAATGTAGCTGAATTTAATTATTGTAGGGAAAAAAAAAAAAGGAAAGAAAAGAAAGTTTTGACGCTTTTGACGAAAGTAAGAATGTAATTTTCTGAAGTACAGTGTTGATACTTTCTGCTTACAGCATTTTACCACATGGTATAATTTTTGTTATGCAATAAACATTTCAAACTACCCTCTTCCTGAGCGAAGTACAAAGCACTACAAGCGGCTAAATTCATCATTATCTCGGCCAAATTATTTCCCATCATTCTTTCATCTTCTCTACGAGCCTTTTAATCTGCCATCGTTTCCTCTTTCGAACCCTTCCTCTTTTCTGCTTTCAAGTAGAATAATGAGTGTTTCAGAATTCAGCCAATTGAACGTTTCGCTAACGAGGAAAGCGCTGCGCATAAATTGTGGACGATTTTTGGCACATTTTCGCTCAGCTTTTTATTTCTGGCTTAAAGCTGGACTTACAAATATGCAAAGAGAAAACCAGATTTCTGGAAGAAAACAAAAGGTTCACTCTTCCTGTGCATTTTGCGCTAGATTCTCACCGCTTTTGACGAATCTTAGTTTCAGAGAATTCAAACATTTAACTAACAAGGCAGGTTTTTAAATCCACATCGCTGAATTTGGCAAATTATAAACTTCTTCTGCAGTTTGAAAAACAAAGATATCAATCAAAATTAGCTGCGGAATAATAATCCGAAAGAAAAATTCAGAACGTTTTGATTACCAAATGCAGTGTTTTGAAAAGGAATATAAATATAAAGCATTGACTTTTATTGTTTTCTTAATGATTTATTATTTATACAGTGAGCATTCTGAAAAGAAGCCATGTTAATTACCATAAGCTTACTATTTTATCGTATTAATTATTGCTTATTAGTTACTTGTGAATGTTTGCTGTATATAAGGGAAATATTTGCTCACCATTTGAAGTTTCTGTTTACTAGTCTACAAATTGCTGATGATTGTTCATTTTAACTTCCTGCCAAGTGTTATATAGTATGAGTTTTTGAATATGAAACTTTAAGAAAACCCGTGCTTAAATCTTGTTGAAGTTGTATTTGTCACCCAGAATGCAGTTATTTGAAACCACCAAACTTATTAATGTTGTATAAATTAGTTGCCCTTTCGCGGTCATGTCGACAGTCTGTATGCACTCTTTATTTTGGAAAATAAGGTCCCAGATATGTTTTTAACGGCATTTAATTTACTAAATATGTTGCATAATCGAGAAAATATTGTTAAGAATTTTATTATTACTATTTTTTATTATTATTGTCTATTTT